GAGAGAATTTAAAAAAAAAATTTCAATTTTTTTTTTTTTTGTTTCTATTATCTTTATGAATTTTAACAAAAAGGAAGGGGAAAAAAATATCAATAATAATGATAATATTTGAAAAGGATTTTATTGTAAAATAATAATAATAATGATAATAAATAACGGTATTATTAACAATTGTTAATCACATACAAAAGAAATAAAATTAACCTTTATGTACTTGAAAGGTTTTTTTTTTTCCTTTTTTTTGGATTACACACTATTATTATTATTAACATTTTTATAAAATTTCAAGTCAACGACTTTTCTTTGTTAACAAAAACATATTTTAAAATTATTATTATTATTATTATTATTATTATTATTTTATGGTTTGTAAAAATTTTATTAAAAACAAAAATGATTCTGACTAATAAATAATAAATGTTTAAAACATAGAAGCAAAACATATTAATTAAATAATTTTATTTTAATTAAATAAATTAAATATTCATAATAATAATAATAATAATAATAATAATAATAATTTTGAAAGTTTCATTTAATAAACATGACTTTAAAAAAATTATTTTTATCTACCACTTTAAACGGGAAAAGTATTTTTTAATGTATTTTGTCAATTAAAAAAGTAAAAAAAAAAAAGGAAGAAGAAGGGAAAATTGTCGCAATTTTATTATAATAACCCCCAACCCCAACCCCATCCCACCCCCACCCTTCGATCGTTTAATTTGAATAATAAATATTTTTTTATTTATTTTCAGATTAATTAATGTATCTTCAATAATTTTTTTCTCTCTCAATTTTCAAAATTAATATCAACATCGTTGTTATATTTATCTTAACCAATTTTTTTTTTTAAAAATGTTCGTTAACGATTTATTTATTTATTTATAATAAATAATAATAATAATAATAAAATTTAATAATTTAATTCTGCTTACATGAAAACGATTTATTATTATTATTGTTTTGTTTTGCCTAATCTGTAAATAATTATTTAAATTTATTTATTTATTTAAAAAAAAAAAATTATATTTAAATTGTTATTAACAAAAAGCAAAGAAATTTTAAATTAAGCAATAACCATTAAAATTTATTTTAAAAAAAAAAAATTATGTGAATGAATGATAAACGTTATCAGTATATAATATATTTTATTTTATCTTTGATGGAGAGGAAAACCTAATTTACACATACATGTATTTATTTTTTCATAATGTTTTTGTTTGTTTATGTTTAAACAACAACAACAACAACAACAATTGATTTGGTTTGTTCTTAATCTTGACTTTTTCTTTTGTTTTTAAATTAAAATTATAAATGGTACATCCCATTTTTTTTGGGAGAAAGAAAATTATGGAGGGAGGGAGTGGGATTTTCCGCACTATTTACAAAATTGTACTAATTTAAAAAAGGAATCATTTAAATAAATAAACTTATTGTATTTAATCATCATTATTTCAATTTCAAATTCAATTGTTTTATTTCAAACATATTAATTTTAACGGTTATTTTTTGGATAAAAGAACTCATGCAAAAAATTATTAAAAACTTTTAAATATTTTGTTTTAAAATCAATTAATTATATTAAATATAATCAAAAAAAAATTTTTTTAATTATTATTATTTTTATTATGTATTTTTTTTTTTTGTAAAAATAAAATTTATTATTAATGTTATTAATTTTGAAAAAATTCTTATTTTATAATCAACAAATTCAAATGTTTTTATTTTGGCGGCGTTGTAACATCATACGACGATAGAACCACGTCATAATCTTCAACCACGACATAAACAAAGTCGAATCGACGTTTCGCAAATATTCAAGGTAAATTATTAATTTATTTATAATATATTTGTCGGATGAATCGTTACAATTTTAATAATTTAATAAAAATAAATAAATATTTAATGATAATATTTAATAATGATCGTTTTTTTCACGTTAATTATTAAAATAATAAAAGATAACCTTAGTTGGTTATATCTTTATCACTGAAAACTGTCACTTAACACATACATATATTAGAAGAGAAAATATTTATAATATTAAATATTATTAAATGAAATATTTATTTATATAATTTGATAAGTAAAAATATTTTTATATATTTTTACTTAATTTATATAAAAATTAAAAACCAATCAGAAAATTTTTTTCATCATAATTTCTTTTTCGATAAAGAGTATCAAACCCTTTTTTTATTTAGGGATTTATTAATAAATTAATTATTTTAAGTATATTTCTTTTTAAAAAAATTTAAATTTGTAAGATATTAATGCAGAATATATCATATTGTTTTTTCCATTTCAAAATTATTTTAAAGAAAAAAAATAATTGACTTTCATGTTAATAATAGGATAATAATTTTGAAATTGAACGAATCGATAACACATAAAGATTCTCTTTCGATACATACGAAACAACTTTAATTAATTTTTTTTTTTTTCTGAAATGTATACTTAACTTTTTGGTATATGCAGTTTATTTTTTTAATGTTGAAAATTTAACAAAAAATTATCTTAATTATAATAATAAGGTAATTTAACCCATTTTGAAAATTCATTGAATAAACTTTTCATCGAGTGAAACTCATTGTGAAGTAAATCGAAAGTTCAATTATGAATTTTATGGATAATTCAACTCGATATTAATTTTTAATAATTGATTACTTGAAATAATTTTCCACAATCTTTATCTTAATAATTTTATTTAAGTTTGTGAAATCCTGTGGAAAATTTTATTAACATTATTATTATTATTATTATTTAGTATTAAAATATGTGTGTGTGTGTGTGTGTGTGCTCGTAAAATGCTTCGTTAAGGAATTTACCAAGAAAAGGAAAAAGAAATGATTGATTGATTGGTTGAATGAATGAATGAATGAATGATAAAACTGATTATTGTAACTGAGGATTCGAATGTGAAATTAAAAAAAAAATCAAATTCTTTAAACTTTTTTTTTAATATTTAAAACTGAAACAATTAAATTCAAAATTTATGCATTAATAATAATAATAATATTTATTTATTTATTTATTTCTTGTTGGAAAAATGTTTTAAAGATATTTTTTTTCTCTCATTTATAATAGGTTTAACATTTATTTAATTAAAATTTTTATTAAACTTTTTATACCAATAATTAAAAAGATAATATCAAAGTGGTCATCGAGAATATTCATCGTTCAAATTATTATTATTATTATTACTATTTTCACTCGGGCGATTATTTAAATCGTCTTTGCAACCGTCTTCG